TTTTATAATATTAAATCGTATCTGGGGATCTATCAGAATTTCGCTAAATCAAAAAGTCTTTCAAGAACCGTTTCGCTTATTTTCTTAATAAACAAGCCGTGAGCTATGAAATTCTTGTTTATGCTATGATTAATTTTATCGAAAGTTGCGAAAACCGTCAAATTTCCGGGCCAACTTAGTACAGATGGGAGAAGTGTACCACGTGGAATGCTTATCATGTAAAAACCTGTAAAAAATCTTGTAAAATATTATATTGTTATATATACCGGTTTTTTGTATTTTCGTGGACATTATTTTAACACACTCTCGGAACTTTTTGGACATTTTAATCAATTTAATTCCAATTAAGAAAATCATTAAACAATTTTTTTCAAATGCTCTATAAAAGCGTTGGATGTGCCGTTGATTTTATCGTAGTTATTGTGTAGTGGTTCAGGTCGCAATATGAATATAATATATTTAAAGACCATACCGGACCCGTTTCGGATAGTAGTCTCATACTCCGACCTAACCGCCACCACCATCGTTACGTAGTTCGCGTGTTCATATCCCTTATCGGTGAATATTATAAATAAATCGATACACAACAATTATGAATTATAAAGAAAACTTTGTTTTGGCGAAACATGGCGAAGCTAACAATCGAGCACTGCAGAAACGTCACTATTTTGGCTTCCTGTGACTTTACAACTCAATAGTTGACACCTTCATGTCACCTAACTTGGTCGTATTTTTATTGTTATTTTTATTTTAATAAAAAAAAATTCATTTCAATAAACCGTTTTTATTTAAAAAAATGGAGAAAATACTAATAGGAAATAAAACAAATAAAAAAGATAGTCTATTACTTATAACAATCAGAAATACATAAAATGAGATTTTAATAAATTGATCTATTAATTGCCTAACCTTAACGGTTCTAAAATTTTAAAGTTTTTTATTATTCATTTAACACAGTCTCATCTATCACAAATGTCAAAATCTCTTTGATATAATTTGTTCGATTTTCCGTAATTAATAATATATTATGCAACAAGTGTTTTAAACGGCACTTGTGTCACGAATTTACTTGCGTATTGCATAATATATTTATTACAATCATTTGTTTTTTGCGACTCGATTCAATGACATGACCGTTTTCTATACCCTAATTATTTTTACTGTTATTGGTATTAAGGGGGGCGCCCCCTGCGGGCGTCCAAGCACTTAGGCCACCAGATGTGCCGCTATGCTCCCAGACTGCCCTAGTCCAGAGTTCAGAATGCCGCACTTCCTATAGAAGGTCAGCAACTCCTTTAGCCCAATACCGTGCACTGAGTCCGGATCAATTAGGGCCGTTCCGAAAACTTCAAATCTTGCCCATGTCAAATCAGGGCACTCGGTGAGCAGATGATACGGGGTCTCCTCCCCTTCCATGCACCACCTGCAATGCCTAGCAAGCAAAGATGACTCCAAAGTCTGCAATGTCCTGTGTAGGCCTCTGTTAGTGCTCTACACTCCCTTCTGGGCAGTGCAAGCAGCTCCCTGGTCCGAGGGAGGCCGGACCCATCCATTATAAGCCTCGCCTGCCTCAGCAACCCTCCAGCCCACCACGGCCCGTTCTCCCACCCAGGCTTAGAAAGCTCCCCGCCCCAAGCGGCGCTGTGGTCCCATATGCCTGAACGAAAAGCTCTCCTTGGCTAAGGCGTCCGCTGCCAGACCAACTTTCCAACATTCCTCTCCCCAGCCACTCTCCTCAGTACCCCTTTGCACTCCTTTATCAATAAGGAGCGCGTACGCACTGACTTCAGCGCCATAAGTGCAGCCCTACCATCAATGCAGAAGAATACTCTCCTGCTACCGTGGTTGAGCCGAAGCACCTCTCTGGCCGCCATCAATATAGCGAAAATTTCCGCCTGAAACACGATGCAGTACTGACGCAGAGGGACCGACAAGCTCGATTCCGTTGTCTCGCAGTATGCTCCAGCTCCGGCCAAATCTCCCATTCTGGACTCGTCCGGGCACCAGACAAGTCCATCCCAGGAGCCTCTGCCCTCTCTCCACTCTTCATGTCAGTGAATGTTTTTGAGTTGTTTTACTCAAAAACTAACTGTCGTAGAAGAAGTATAGTATGCAACAGGTTTGGTAAACTTTTTAAGTCACCATTTTTTTAAACACTCACTTGATTGCGTTCCGCTCGCGCCAAATAAACTCGTGACTCAAATGCCGTTTACCTCACTTGCTGCATAATATACTATTTTCTATATGATCGAAATCGCGGAATATCTTATTTTATATAGAGGGAACTTGTATATTACATCCATCTACATCCTTAACTCATCTATGTGTAAAACGATCGTTAAATGAATTTTAGAAATAAATTTTAAGCAATTCTGAAAACCTAAAAGCAGCTTATATGGGAAATTTCTTGATTGCTATCGTTCACTCAAGCTTAAACCTGAATGCGTCTAAAAAATATTTAGTTAGAGACAAGTGCTTGAAATTTTAGTACCGGAAAGAGAGGTTTTATGTTCATATCTGCGGGTTTAAAATACATTTTGTTTCAACGGAAACGGCGGAAAAGCCGTTCTTTTAATCTGCTCAAAATCAAGACGAAAAACCAACCATTTGGGATTCTAGTCCCGAAGATTTTTCTAGAAATCCTGATAAATATGTAGGCTACAATATTAGTTGTATGTTTAAAAAAAAATTACGTACATGTTTTTGTTTTTTGTTATTTTTTTTCAAATTGGTGTCTATCTAAATAGATAACACACAAATAAAACATACTCTAACAATAGACAAGCCGCATTTTACTTACGATTGTTTAAACCTATAATGTATAGTCTTTTTGAGTACAACGTAAAGAAATTTTGGGAATACACTTCAACAGTAATTCAATGTTAAGTACTTGTTTATTACACAGCACTTAGCGTTTTTAAAAATTGGGGAGCACTCTAATACAATACAACATCTCTCAGCAGTAGAACTGTGGTTGTCTTTAAGGAGTTTTAAACAAGCAATTCTCCCCTCCTTGTAAACTTTGCATTCTTTGAATTGGTAAGTAACTTTACAAATAAGATCCCCCAAACTTTTCTGGGAAAGTTTTAAAAAACGCTGTAAAATTTTATTCCACACAACATTTAGGGGAAAATGCCATTATTTTCAGTTAGACATTCAATATAACATAACACTGTACTCAGAAGCAGACAAGGATGTATCTCCATTGTTGTTGCACCATTTTTAATGAAGTATCTGAAGGCATCGGAATCAAAGCAAATGTAGCCTTTACAACAATTTATGAACCAATTAAATGACGTTAGTAAGAACCATGTATCAAGAATAAATAGTCATCAAACAAACTTCATGATAATCGGTAGGTGAAAAGTTGCAAAATCATAACTTGTCATCGATGGAAATATCCTTTGAGCGAGTCGCAAAATATAGATACTTGAGACTTGGCTGTCCCAGAGTTCGCCCAATGACAAGGAAATTAAGCTCGAAATAAAAGTGGCTCGTAACCAATTTTTCAAATTTTTAAAATATGCGTACCGGTACAGGGTACAGGGAAACAACATCCAATAATAACGGATATGCAGCTAAAGAAGAAATTTGTAGACCTTTCTTTAATATGGTTTCCATGGGAACTAAGTGAGTTACACTGCCGCTTAACGTGTAGAAATGAGCAACCTTTGGCAACTTTAAGCTTCTTTTTAAACTGATTAAATGCAACATGATCTCGCTTAAGGATTATTAATTTTTATTGTTGCCTTAGAACAACTTACACAGTTAATTTTGTAGCTTTCACGAATGTGGATGTTCCTCTTAAAATACTTACTATTAGGAAAATATTTACCAATTCTAAGTCCTTGTCGTAGAAATTTATTCATGTGATTTTCAACGTTCAATTAACAGATTTGTCGCCATTCGTTATTTTCTGGTTGGTGGGTCCAATTATTTTTGTTCCCCCGTTGTTTCAAAAAGCTTTTAAATTGCGGAGGGTGGCTTTCGGTCGCAATATGTACAGTTAAGAAGCAAAGCTTGAGGGTGTTTTTTTCTTAGTATTACGTGAAAAATCGTTTGGGGGTGATAGGCCTCGAATAATTTAATCGGTACTTCCGCATTCTTAAGCGCTTACTGGAAAACGCGTTTATTTGAATTTTGGTTGTAGGATTTACATAATTTGTGTTCCTTCGCCTTGAACATTGTTTTATAATTTATTTGTCGTTCTATTCCGTTAATATATTTTTCATCCGACAATCAATAGTTTTGTTACATTTATTATTGAAACTTCACACTACATACTGTATATTGGGGTGTGACTTGTGATTATTACAATCGTCGCCGATAAAGAAAATGAACCAGAACTTTATGGGATTATCATTTTTTTAAAATATGACGTAAATATTCGAAAAACCAAATAATAACTTTCTCACTTTCCATTATAAATTCAAATTCATTATGAAAATATCGTTGAAGAAATAAAACGTAGTGTCTGTGCTCTGTATCATGTTCACGCTCACCAGTAAGAATATAATCGATAAATAAAATAAATAAATAAAAAAATAAACCGACTAATCAATTGTTTTCAAAATTGGTACGCCAATAGAACGAATAGACCTTTAAAAAGAGGTATCATATTACACTTTTACCACTTAAAAAATACTTCAGATGGCGCCTTGCTGTCATTCTGACATTTTGTATAATTGTTTTCATGTCAAAAATTAAACATCATTTAGGCGGGCACTGCATATTCTGTGTCCAATTGTGCCCATGTGGGAGGGAAACTTTTAATTTTTGGTTTCTTGTTCCAAAAATTATTATTTCATGGCGGATATATTACAATATTTAATAATTATGATGAATTTTGCAACTTTACATGAAATTTAATCCATGTATTACTCGGCTGTTCTATTTCAAATTTTAGACCATCATTTTTTGTAAAGAATAATTTTTTTTTATATGTATTGTGCAGCCTTGATTAGACACTCTGAATATTAAATATATTTTTTTATTTTTAGGACAAATTTCACTCCTTGATAGACACAAGCGCAGCTACGAACATCGCAAGAACAAGGAAAAGATTATCCATGATATCGGCAATGCTGTTAAGTCGATGCCAAATGGCGGCAAGCCCGGAATATTTGCTACGGAAAACTGCACCGTGGTAGTTGCTCAAATCGGAGGGACTGCAACCTTGCCGTGTGTCGTACGAAAATTCAGCAACGGCGTGGTAAGTGACGGAGTATAAAATTGGTTTGTAAAAGTGGACGTTTATTAATTTTTGTGCATAATATGACAATACGACTTAAGGCTTAAAATAACGTTAAATATTAGTTAGTTGGCCCCTGTATACTATTCCAATCTCTTGTTACTTTATCTTTCGCATGTACGGACGACGCAAATAATTAAAATATCTGTAAGGGAATCATGGAATGTAGAAAAGACCCGCTCAGACTCTTAATCAAACAGAGAGACAAGAAACGGACGCTATTGTCATTTTGTCAAAGACTTTCCTATTGCGACATACTAACGACGTGTTTTACCGAAATCATCAGACTGTCAGACTCTATTAGAATTACAATCACGATCCAATCATACTTTAGTAATGAGTAACAAGTAGCAAAGTATGAATTGTACGTTTAACACAATAATGGCCAATTTAGCGGAATATTTTTGGATTTTGTCAATTTTAACCTAGATAAAGAACTTCAACAAATCTGGATTCGGAGATATAGGAAAAATTATAATAAACAAGATGGCGACAACTGTCCAGTTTGTTCAGATCATTTGAGAGAAATAGATTTTCAATGCGACGAAGGATCATGCAACCTAACTAACTAACCAAAAATTATTGAACTAAAGTTTTGAAGAATCATAAAAATGGTCTATGAATGCTATTGAATTAATACCAACAAATGTTACTAAGGTTAAAAATTATTAAGTTCTTAACGGACATCTTGAAATGAACACAAACTTATAAAAACAAACTTTGCAGATATACTGAAGAGCACCGAACATTGTTTAAAAATATGAAAAAAAATGTTTGCTGATGTTAGTATACCTACTATGTATGTTGTCATTAAGCAAAAGATAGTTTTGTCAATTTTCTTTGTTTTTTTTTTCATTTTTTTGGTAAAATATTCATATAGGATATGTGTTTTATTTATTTTGTCTATTTTAGTTTGAATCTGAAAGTACTTATTGCCCCCTAAAAAAGCAATGTTTCAATGTTTTTGTGTTCAATATTTCTGGAGTTCAAAAAAGTCAATACAATTTTGTGTTATTTTACTTTCAAAATAATTTATACAATACACACACTTATTTTTAACATAGATACATACCGTTTCCACCTATTCTACATTTTCTAGTAACAATTGTTACTTGAGAAATAAATTTTCTTTTCAAAACGGCTAATAAAAAATAAATAAAACACTATACTAATAACGGTGATTATTCCAACAGTCAATGTTAGAGCCGGGGTCGCCAATCAACGCGTTATCTCTGCCCGCACCTCCCGTACCCCTTTATCCGTTACTCAGTGCCTAGGGCAACCTATTGTGTTTACGGATCTTGCCTTAAAAGACTATCCGTGGGTAAGGTAGCTGACGTTTTAAAATGAAACGTTTCACATTCTTGATCGGTATTTAAATAAAAATTTATATGTGTAAGTATTGTAAAGTTGATGCAACTAAAGACGGTTGCAGACTTTCACACACACACACACACACAAATATATATATATATATATATATATATATATATATATATATATTTGTGTGTGTGTGTGTGTGTGAAAGTCTGCAACCGTCTTTAGTTGCATCAACTTTACAATACTTACACATATAAATGGATTCACGAATGGAAAAATGTGATGACACTATATTCCGGGATACCATCCGTTCGCTTGTTGAACTCCGACAGGAATCCTGCAGACGTTTCGCCAAAATCTCACTTGGCATCTTCAATGTTTTCGGAGCACGAGCATTGAAGGTGCCAAGTGAAATTTTGGCGAAACGTCTGCAGGATTCCAGTCGGCGTTCAACAAGTGAACGGATGATATCCCGGAATATAGTGTCATCATATATATATATATATATATATATATATATATATATATATATATATATATATATATATATATATATATAGTGCTCGAAGTGTTTTCGGAGCGCTAGCATTGAAGATGCCAAGTGAGATTTTGGCGAAACGTCTGCAGGATTCCAGTCGGATGCAGGATTTGCAGGATTCCAGTCGGATGCAGGATTCCAGTCGGAGTTCAACGAGCGAACGGATGATATATATATATATATATATATATATATATATATATATATATATATATATATATATATATATATATATATATATATATATATATACAGGGTTTTTCACTTAAGACTCCGCACGCCAATAAGTCCAAAACGAAAAGAAATATTTAATTTATGTATAAAGTAGTCAAAGTGTGGGGTCAAGTAGATATTTCCTAAAGTTTAAAAAGTTCGACGCCTGCAAAGAGCTGGGCGTCGCGACGCGTCGAAAAATTATTCGATTGCAGAGACGTTGGAAATACGCGCATACAAAAGTACATATTATTTAAAAACTTTTTTGTTATTTACTCAAACTTATTTACTTTACCCGTTTCTAAGTTATACCGATTTAAAGTAAACATTTCTTGATTAATAAAAAATGTGATTAACGCTTATTTTTACCCATGAATGTTAGTTACTATGGCAACCATTGTGATCGCAGTTGTTTTAAGTGCAATTACAAACGTAAGTTGTTATTGCTGTATCAAAAAATTGTCACATTTTGTCACAAGAAATATCCAAATTTGTTCGGTTTAAAAAAAACTAAGAATTATTATGTGAAAATGGTGCAATTTAGCAATGAGGAAAAAGTAGACATGTTACTGGTGTTTGGAGAATGCGGATGCAATTGTAGAGAAGCAAAAAGAGTTTACGCACGGCGTTATCCGCATAGAAGAGTCCCCGATGCAAAAACCTTTTCAAGTTTATGTAAAAACTTAAGAGAATATGGCAGCTTCATAAAACCTAAAAGAGATAGGAACAGGACAGCTACAGCAGGTTGATAATAACCCCAAGATATCCCTATCAGAGATAAAAGAAAATACCGGTGTTACCATAAGTTCTTCGTGGAGAATTCTACATAGAAACTCTTTTCACCCGTACAAAAGTAAACTAGTTCATAAACTAGAAGCAGGCGATTATGCTAGAAGAATGTATTTCTTAGCGACTTTGTCCGATTTGTATAGCCAAGATGCAAATTTTTTCTTGAAAATTTTATGGAGCGACGAAAGTCGATTTCAAAATAATGGAATCGTTAATAGACACAACTGTCGTTTTTGGTCCGAAAACCATCCTCGTTGGATTACAGAAAGAGGTAACCAACGAATTTTTAGTATCAATGTTTGGTACGGCATATTAAATGGATTCCTTATTGTTCCTTACTTTTACGAAGGAACTTTAAATGTAGATCGCTGTTTAAGATTTCTTCAAATTACACTTCCGGAACTATTAAAAGAAGTGCCTCTTGACACTAGAATGAATATGTGGCTACAGCAGGATGGAGCGCCTGCACATAATGCCCAAATAGTTACGAGGTATTTGAACCGAGAATATCCCAATAGATGGTTTGGTACTAATGGACCGGTAAGGTGGCCGGCGAGGTCCCCACATTACACCACAAGATTATTTTCTTTGGGGCTACCTAAAAAACGTTATCTATGAAGAACCTATCGAAGATATGGCTGATCTCATTAACAAAATTAGTGCAGCGTGTGCCGCTATCACAAGAACTCTCCTACAAGTGACCCAAGCTCATCTGTTAAAAGTTTTTGATAGTTGTGTTAGAGCAGATGGACATAATTTTGAACAAAATTTTTGAAATGTCTTATTATGTAGTTAATTGCAATAATAATTTTGGTTATTAACTTGTAGGTATTTTACTGTTTTTTCATTTATTTATCATGTTAATAATAAATAAAATCATACTAAAATAGTTGAAATCTATTGTTTGTAATTGCACTTAAAACAACTGCGATAACAATGATTGCCATAGTAACTAATATTCATGGCATACTTGTAAAAATAAGCGTTAATCACATTTTTTATTAATCAAGAAATGTTTACTTTAAATCGGTACAACTTAGAAACGGGTAAAGTAAATAAGTTTGAGTAAATAACAAAAAAGTTTTTAAATAATATGTACTTTCGTATGCGCGTATTTCCAAAGTCTCTGCAATCGAATAATTTTTCGACGCGTCGCGACGCCCAGCTCTTTGCAGGCGTCGAATTTTTTAAACTTTAGGAAATATCTACTTGACCCCACACTTTGAGTACTTTTTACATAAATTAAATATTTCTTTTCGTTTTGGAGTTATTGGCGTGCGGAGTTTTAAGTGAAAAACCCTGTATATATATATATATATATATATATATATATATATATATATATATATATATATATATATATATATATATATATATATATATATATATATATATATATATATATATATATATATATATATATATATATATATATATATATATATATATATATATATATATATATATATATATATATATGTATATATATATATATATATATATATATATATATATATATATATATATATATATATATATATATATATATATATATATATATATATATATATATATATATATATATATATATATATATATATATATGCATGTCTCTAAATTTCACGCACTAACCTGCACTTCTCGCCATTTTCACTACAGACAGTTATCCCCAGCCAAACTGAACACTGTCCAATTGACGAACTGAAGAATTTTATCGGTTGAACGCCAAATTTGAAATGATAGCCCTACATATTTATTTTTATGTTCACGTATGAACTATAGTAATTTAATATTGTCTGCAAATAAATATGAGTGTTTTGGAATTAAGTCGTAGCGTAGAGCAACTTCACTTGAAAACAGCTGTTATTTGAAGTTATTTTCTGTTTAATTTTTTTTGCAAATAAATAACAACAACAATGTGTGATTTTTTTTAATATACGGGAAGAAGTAGTGATTTCGATTTAGAAGACAGATAACGATCTGGGCAGCCAAAAAAATTCGAAGAAAAAGAATTAAAAAAACTGCTTAATGAAGATTTACGTCACACTCTATCAAGAATTATCAACTTTTCTTGAAGTTGCGCTTTCGATCATCGGAAAAC